GCCAACGGAAAGGGGCCACGGCCGCCAGGGGCTAACGGCCGCGGCGGCGGCGGCAACGGCGGCAGTGGTGGCGCGGCGATCAAGGCGGAGGGGCCGGCTGAGTTTGCGGCGGCGGCGGAGGCCGCGGCCGCTGCCGCGGTGGCGGCCGCGGCAAAGGAGGCACGCGCGGCGGCCGCGGCCGCGCCGCAGCAGGCCCGCATCGCAAAAGAGCTGGACGCGGCGGCGCAGAAGGCGGCGGTGCAGTCGGTGCTCGCGTCCAAAGACGTGGTGCTGCCGCCAGCCGCGGCCGTGGACAAGGGCCGCAGCGCCGCGGCGGCCGCGGCGGCCGCCGCCGAGGCCGCGCGCACGAACGGGGCCGGAGCGAAGGCCGCCGCTGACAAGGAGGCGCAGCCCGCGAGAGGCTCGACCGCGGCCGCCAAGGCGGGCATCAAGGCGGCCGTGGGCGCCGCCGGCACGTCCTTCGCCGCGCTGCCCGGCGAGGCTGAGGCGGCCGCGGCCGCGACGGCCGCGGCGCCCGCAGCGTCGTCGCCCACGCCGTCGCGCAAGGGCACGCCCGCGCCGCCGCCCCGGCCAGCTTCGCCGCCGCCGCGGGCCGCCTCGCCGCCGTCCCGGGCTGCCTCGCCGGCCCCCAAGAAGCTGTCGGCGTCATGGGCCACGCCAGTTGACGCCCTGTACAAGCCGGGGAAGACGTCAACCTCGTTCGCCAGCCCAGAGCTCGACGAGCCGGATTACGCATCCCCTGCGAGCCCCAGGGGCGCCTCGCCGGCGCCGGCGCCGGCGCCGGCGCGGGCGCCCGCGCCCGCCCAGGCGGCGACAAAGGAGGCCGCCGGGAAAGGCGCGCCCCCTGCGAAGGCGTCCGCGGCGTCGGGAGCTGCCAAGAACCAGGCGCCCGTCAAGGCGGCCGATGCGAAGGGGTCGAAGGGGCCGGAGAAGGCCGGCCCTGCCGTTGGCGGTGCTGGCCGCGCGCCCGCGAGCGCGGGCCAGAGCGCGCCGCCCGCCAGAGCGCGCGAGAGCAGCTCCGGCTCCGGCGCCGTCGCCAGCGCCGCCACGCCCGCGATCGCGATCATCGGCGTCGGCGCAGCCATTTTCGACGCCCTCGGGCCGCTGGGCGGCGCAGTCATCCAGGCGGCGCGCCGCGCGGCGGCCTCGGCCGCGGACGCGCCGGCTCGCAAGGCCGGCCCGCCGGGGGGCGAGGGGGACGTGTGAGAGGCGCCAAGACGCGCCAGCGCGGCCCATCGCCCCCAGGACCAGCGCCTCGTCATCGCCACGGCTTCGCCTGTCGGGCTGCCCGGCGGGGGGGCCCGAGGGGCTCCAGCTGTGAGGGGCTCTAGCTGTGAAGGTATCCAGCCGTGAAGGGCTCCAGCTACGAGGGACTCCAGCTGTGAGGGTCTCCAGCTGTGAGGGGCTCCAGCTGTGAGGCAACGGGTGGGGCGGGCCCCCAGGAGGGGCCGCCCCTTTGAAAGGGCCATGCTTGGGGGAAACTCATGCACGGCCCGCCGCATAACAATGGGGCCGGCGCGCGCCGCGCGGCAGCGGCGCGGCCGCGATGAATGTCATCTAACGGCCGGCCCCGCTCTGCCCAGGGCGTCAGAAGAAGGCACGGGGGACGCGGGGGGTGCATAAGACGCTGCTTTCGTAGTATTTCTCCGGGGTTTTTGGGTGCATCGGCGCCGCTGCACCATGCAGGATGGCTGCAACGGCTGATGGGCGTTTGCGGGGCTCGCGGCAAAGCGTGGGCCGCTGCGTCGGTTTCGTGGATCTGCGAGGGCAGCAGGGCGGCGGCTCTCACAGCACAGAGGGCCTCCTGTGCTGTGAGAGCACGGGGTCGGAACATACCCCTGCGAGCCGTGCATGGCTGCCGATTTGGCCGTTCCGTCCGCCGCGGCGGCAGGCACAGGGGCGTTTGGTCGAGTAGACAAATGTGTTTAGAGTGATTACACCCATTTTTTGGACCGTGTAGGAGTCCTGTTTTTTGCTTCCTGCGGGCACGCGCCAGCCGTGCCCCATCGCCACCCCCATCCCACCCGCCCGTCTGCCCGCAGTGTTTGCTTGTGCCAGCCCCTCTCCGACCCACACCCGCAGGGTGTGGCTTTGACCCTTGCAACACGCCGGCGCCGCACACGCGGGCGGCGCTTTGACTGACTTGTGCTGCACCCGTGCCGCCGCACCGCATCGCTCTTCTGCACTTTTTTGCTCACGGGGATGAGAAGCGACGCTTATGCTGGGGCATCACGATCGCGCGAGATGCATGGGCGCATTACATAATTCCGCGCGCACGCGCCTGGCATCACGCATGAAGGACCCCTGCGGATAGCATGCCCCGCGACAGGGACAGCCGCGCGTGCGCGCGCGCGCATGGGCGCGCCTGGGAACGCCAGAAGAGAGCTGAGCGGTGGCCGGAAATTGATGCCTGTATGCCATGCATGTGATGCGCATATGGAGATTCCTATTCGCGCCATTCCCCCGACACCCTGGCCGATCACGCTGTCCCGCTTGCTCCCCCCGCCTGCGTCCATTTTTTCATACTGTGGGGCACATGTCACCATTCCCCTGCACCAAACACGCGTGTTACAAAGTGAACGATGTGACCCTGCAAACCTGCCAAGGGTTTGTAAATCTGGTCGAGATGGTACAGCGCCCACACCATCAACCTCAGCAGTGTCCAGCGCCAATGCCCATGTAAAGCTGCGTCGGAACGAAAGCCGCTGCCCTGGCAAAGCCCGAAACTGCATGCGAAAGGCAACATACACGAGTGCACTCCCATCAAATGCCGCACATGATTGCTGCTTGTCGAGGACGGCAGCCCCCTCCACCAGCTGCCCAACTGACCACCGCCCGCCCCGCCGTCCCGCTACCGCCCGTCCGCGCGAGACACGAGCCGCCTCGGAGCGACACGCGACCGCGCCAGACCCTCGAGATCAGTCCTCCTTGGAGGCCGGCGCCGCCGCGTCGTCGCCATCCCCGTCGTCCGCCAGCCGCGGCGCGGTCTCCGCGTCCTGCAGGCCCTTTGCGAGGGCCTCCGCCACGCCGCTGCTGGTGGCCCGCAGGCCGTCGGGGGCGGCGTCCTGCAGGGCAGCCGCGCCGTTTGCGGTGGGGGCGCCCGCGCCGTCCCGCTTGGCCTTGCCCTTGCCCTTGCCTTTCTTGCCAGCTGCTTGGATTTGACCGAGCGCCAGGACACCCACCTGTGAGGGGCGCAGAAAAGCGACAAAGTGTGTGTGTGTGTGTGTGTGTGTGTGTGTGTGTGTGTATGTGTGTGTGTGTGTGTGCGCGCGCGCGCGCAAGCAGACACGTGTGATGTTGACGTGTCAAGGCAGAGGCGCAAGAAAGAGATCCTTTCTAAGAACGGCAAGCGACCGCCGCTGATAGCTAGGGCGCCGGCCTGCCAAGCGGCCGTCTACGACGCGTGGCCCTCCACCAGCCCACGCCACGCTCACGCAACGGGGGCTTTCGACCGCCGTTCTCGCACAACCCGGCCCCCAGCCTGCAGCCCGGAGGCTGGGCCGGATCTCACCATCCAGATGAGAGGGATGTAGTAGACGCTGGCCCAGGCCACGAGGCACTCGCGCCAGGTGAGGACCAGGAAGGCGGACGCCAGGAAGTCGAGGCACTGCTTGGTGATAAACACCTGGGGAGGGGGAGTAGGAGCAGGGGGGTGGCGGGATGGACGGCATGCTGGCCGGAAGGTTTCGCGGCCGTTTTTGCGAAATCAACCCCCCCAGGCTGGGGGTCCAGCACACCAGTAGCTCTTGACGATGCGAAATCGCAGCTACAGGAACACATCCTCAAACGCGACAACCGGTTCACTTTGTTTGCGCGCCCTGCAAAGCGAAGCAACTGCTGTGCGCCGCCGAGTGCGCAAGGCATTGCGGCCGCGGCCGCGGCTGCAGACTCGCGCACCTTGACGGCCCAGAAGGGCAGGCTCTTGACGACGGGCTGCAGCCAGGACGGCGCCTGCTTCTCCCAGTGATATGTGACCGTGGAGTGGGCGAACAGGAAGGCGCTGCCGACGAAAAACAAGAAGTAGCCTGGTCATGGTGGAGGCGGGGGGGAGGGGGGGCGAAGCGTTGGCGCTTAAGGGC